CTGAGCCCCCTCCCTTCTGTGACTGCTCCTGGGGGTTGGCAATGGCCTCTCTGGACGAGGCTGGTCTTGCTTTGCCTTCACAGGACACCTCAAGGGTGGGTAGCTTGTCCCCGCCGAGCTTTAGAGGGCGGTAAACCTCACACTTCTGTGTGAGCTGATTCTCTACCTTCTGTCCACCTCGGGGGTGCTGGGACCTTGGTCTCTGTCGTGGGCTCCTGGTTTCTGCTGCTCGGAGCGCCTCTAACCCCACACCCTTGCTCCCTCCCAGAACAAGTTCCTTGTCCTTGGCCAGTAGCGTTAAGACCTTCACGCAAGTGTCCAGTCCTAAGACAGCAGCGGCCCCGGCTAATGGCCTGGAAACCAGGCCCTCTTCTGGTTTCTCACAGAAACGTCTCTGTGGCCCCGCGAGACAGATGGGGCCTATCTTACAGGCGAGGCCCCGAAACCGGGGTGGTGTGGGCCGGACCAGGGCCACACAGCCTGCGAGGGGAGGACGTCCCCCTGGGCCAGGCCACGCCCTCCGCACTGGCTGGGGCTGGCGCCCAGGTTAGGGGCTGTTAGTAGTTCTTTGACTAGTTTAGGGGGTGAAGTGCTCAGTTCTCTTGAGTGACCAGCGGGCGCCCGCATGCTGTGGCTCATCCTGCCCACCCCCCGACCATCCTTGGGTGGCGTTGGCACCATCTGTGCTGTCCTGTGGGCTTGTGACATCTGGCCTGGGTAACCAAGCTCTGCCCTGAGGGTCTCCCTTGCCCTTCAGCAGCCGGCCCTCCAGCCAGCACCCCTGACCTCAGCCTTCCCTTGAGAAACCTCACGTCAGGTTGTGTGGAGCCCTCACTGCTGGTGACCTCTGTGAGCTGACAGGGCCCAGCTCCTGCGGGGATGGGACAGCAGGGGGCTGTGCCCGCATGTCCTCTGAGCACCTCCCTGGCCCCGTGGTCTCAGACACCAAGGTCTTTCCTACCACAGTCCCTGGTCTCCGAGAAGCCCCCCTTCCCAGTCTGTTGGTCCAGGGCTGACCCCGTGGACCCCTGCCATGCCCTTCCTGGGTCTGGCATGACTTCCCAGCCCAGGGTGGCTTTCCTCTGCTGGTGCCTGTCCTTTCTGGGGGCCAGAGAGCACAGAAGCCTGCTCCAAACTGCCCTTTGCCCCATCACGAGCCAAACGTGCTCTGAATCCAGTGAGGAGTGACCCGGGGGGGTCCTTGGAGGGTCAGTGGGCACAGGGTGGGCGAGACACAGTTGAGTGTCCCTAGCAGGACCTGACCCTGGACCCAGAGGCCGAGGCTCCTGCCCTCTCTGGGTGTCCAGCTGGGAGAGGAGACAAGGAAGGAGGGGAGAGGGTGGACGATGCTGGGCCAGGAAGGGGAGCGTGTGGCCTGGGCCACGGCTGGGAGTGGCCATGGGGGGAGGGGGAGGGGGAGACGCCAGATGCTGGGGACTTGGGCAGGGGAAGAGTCCAGAGCATCAGAGACGTGTGACATACTCAAAAGGCTGACGCACATAACTGGAATCAGAAGGAAGGAATGGAGAAAACGGGCAGAAGCAGTATTCAAAAACATAGCGGCCAAGAATTTTCCAAAATTGAAGAAAAATCTCTGTCCACAGATTCAGGAGACTGTTAAAGAAAACTAAAAGCAAGATGAGCATAACACACATCTAGGTATATCACAGTAAAATTGCCGAAAACAAAGAAAAAACCTTAAACACAGCTAGAGGAAAAGGGCATATTACTTTGAAAAGCGTGTACATCAACAGCTGTCTTCTCCAAAACAACGGAAGCCAGAAGGCAAGGAAATGATACATATTTAAAGTGCTGAAAGCGGGACTTTCCTGGTGGTCCGGTGGTTGGGACTCCGCACTCCCAATGCAGGGGACCCGGGTTCGATCCCTGGTCGGGGAACTCAGTCCTGCATGCATGCCGCAACTAAAAGATCCTGCACGCCACAACTAAAGATCCCCCATGTTGCAACTCAAGATCCCCTATGCCACAACTAAGGAAAAGATCCCAAATGCCGCAACAAAGATCCCACATGTGGCAACGAGGATCCCTCATGCCACAACCTGGCACAGCCGAAATAAATAAGTAAATATTTCCAAAAAAAATAAAGTGCTGAAGGAAAATAGCTGCTAGTCAGGATTTTACAACCAGGAAAAATATCCTTCAAAAATGCAGGTGACAGGGCTTCCCTGGTGGCGCAATGGTTGAGAGTCCGCCTGCCGATGCAGGGGACACGGGTTCGTGCCTTGGTCCGGGAAGATCCCACATGCCACGGAGTGGCTGGGCCCGTGAGCCATGACTGCTGAGCCTGCGCGTCCGGAGCCTGTGCTCCGCAACGGGAGAGGCCACAACAGTGAGAGGCCCGCGTACCCCAAAAAAAAAAAAAAAAAAAAAAAAAAAAAATGCAGGTGACATAGTGGGTTATTCAGAAACAATGAAGCTGAAGAAATTTGTTATGAGCAGATTGCACATAAAGAAAAACTAACTGGAATTCTTCCTGCAAAGGAAAAAAATCTCAGATGGGAATGTGGAAGCACAGGAGAGACTTAAGACCCTGATGTGAATGAACATAAATGAATCTGGGCTGTACAAAACAATAATTGTCTTGTGGAGTTTAAATTATATACATCAGAGTTTAACATTTGAAAATCAGTTTTTCTGTATTAATTTTTTAAAAAGGAAGAAGAACCAAATCATTTTGAAAGTTAACAGAAAAATAATTTGAAAGATTAATGCCTATTTTATGATGAAAACATCTCTTAGCAAATTAGAAATAGAAGGGAATTTCCTTAATCTGGTATAAGAGATACACACATATGCACACACGTATGAAGTTGGACCCTTACCTAACACCATATAAATATGAATTAACTCAAAATTAATCAAGGACCTAAATGTGAGAGGTAAAACTACAAAGCTCTTAGAAGAAAACATAGGACAAAAGCTTCATGAGATTGCATTTTGGCAGTGATTTCTTGGATGTAACACCAAAGGCACAGGTAACAGAAGAAAAAAATAGACAAATTGAACTTTGTGAAAATTTCAAAATTTTTTCCATCAAAAAACACTACAATAGAGTAAAAAGGCAGCCCATAGAATGGGAGAAAATATCTGCGTATCATATATCTGGTAAGGGGTTAGTATCTAGACTATATAGAGAACTCCTAAAAATCAACCACAAAAAGCCTAACAATCTGATGCAAATGGGCAAAAGACTTGAACAGACATTTCTCCAGAGAAGATACATGAATGGCCAACAGCACATGAAAAGATGCTCAACATCACGATCGTCAGGGAAACGCAAATCAAAACCACAATGAGATACCACCTCACACCCATGAGGAAGGCTACTATCAAAGAGAAAACAAGTGCTGGGGAGGATATGGAGAAATTGGAACTCTTGTACACTGTTGGTGGGAATGTAAAATGGTGCAGCTGCTGTGGAGGTTCCTCAAAAAATTAAAATAGAACTACCGTATGATCCAGCAGTTCCACTTCTGGGTTTATACCGAAAAGAATTGAAAGAAGCATCTTGAAGAGATATTTGTACACTCGTATTCATAGCAGCATCGTTCACAATAGCTAAGACATGGAAGCCGCTGTTGACAGATGGATGGGTAAGCAAAACATGGTCCAGCCATACACTGGGATATTATTCAGCCTTAGAAAGGAAGGAAATCCTGACGCATGCTGCAATGTGGATGAACTTTGTGGACATGCTAAATGAAATAAGCCAGTCACAAAAAGACAGATAATGTATGATTCCAATTGCATGAGGTCCCTGGCGTCCTCAAAATCATGGAGACAAAAGGCATAACTGTGGTTGCCAGGGGCTGGGGGAGGGGAGAACAGGGAGTTATTGTTTCATGAGGACAGAGTTTTAGTTTTACAAGATGAAATTGTTACAGGGATGGATGGTGGTGATGGCTGCACAACAATATGAATGTACTTAATACCACTGAACTGTCACTTAAAATGGTTAAGATGGTAAATTTTATAAGTATTTTATCACAATAAAAAATTTAAATATCATCTACAATGGTGTCAATAAATATTAATTAGCATAAATCTGAGATGTCTAAGACCTCCACTGAAAGTTACAAAATGTTTTTGATACAAAATTTTAAAGACCTAAATAAATAGCTATTCCATATTCAGGGAGTGGAAAACTTAATATTGAGAAGATATCAGTGATTCTCAAATTAATCTATGAATTCAATGCAACCTCAATCAAAATCCCAGGAGCTTTTTCCTTTGCAGAAATTGACAAACTAATTCTAAAATTCCTATAGAAAGGCAAGGAGCCTAGAATAGCCAAGAAGAAAAAGATTGCTGGAGAAAAAGGACAAAGAAGAATATTATTTATCTGTTCTGCTCCTCATGGTTTTTGGGTAGTTTCCAGACGATGCTGGTGTGACCGAGCTTGTGAACGTATGTGTGCATTTCTGCTGGGTGTGCTTCATTAAAGTGAGCAGAACTGGAGACACTTCCTGCTGTATAGCTGTAGCCGTACTGGCAGAGATGAGGTGCACGGGGCGTTCAACAGAACAGAGGGTCTGGTGCGACCAACATATGATTCATGACAGGTGACAGAGCAGAACAGTTGGCTTTTTCCAATGAATGGCTGAATCAGTAAATATCCATATGAGGAAAAAGATCCGTAATACACTCCTATGAAAACATCAATTCTAGGTAGACTGCAGATACAAACGTGAAAAGTAAAAGAACGTTTTCAGAGGGAAAAATCGAGTACATCTTTGTGATCTTGGAGTAGGCAAAGATTTCTTCAACAGGGCGCAAAAGCACTAGTCACAGAATAAAATGACATTTTGAACTTTACTGAAATTTAAAACTTCAGTTTGTCAAAAGACACCTTTGAGAGAGCGAAGAGGCCGCAGAGTTGGACACAACATCCAATAAAGAACTCACATCCACAATACATAAAGAGCTCCTGTCAGTCGGTAAGAAACAGACAGTTAACCCAATAAAAAATGGGTGAAAGTCCTGAACAGGCACTACAGAGAGGCTGTCTAAGGGTCCATCGACGTATAAATGGGTGCACAACCTCCTGAATGAGCAGGCGAAAGCAGTTTAAAACCACAACGAGATACCACTGCACACTCACCAGAGACGATGAAGTGGAAAAGTGCAAGTGCCCATGAGGATGTGGGGCATGCAGAACTGTCAGCGGACCCTGTGGGCTGTCGGCGGGGACACACCCCCTCACCAGCACTCAGCACGCGTGCTTGCAGAAACACACCCCATGCTCCCCAGGACAGGGGCTCAAAGATGTGGGTCCCTGGCAGCCAGGGCCCCTCCGGGGTGGAACAGCTTCAGAGGTGAACTGTGATGCGTTTCCACCAGGAGACGGAATGATCTACAATGACCGTGAATCTCACCAGAGAGGGCTGTCAGAGCTGGCAAAGGGAAACAGCAGAATATGTGATTAAGGGGAGTTCTCTGGTGGTCCAGTGGTTAGGACTCTGCACTTCGGCTGCCAAGGGTGCAAGTTCAATCCCTGGTCAGGGGGAACTAAGATCCCACAAGCCGAGCAGCCAAAAAAAAAAAAAAAAAAAGCATAGGAAAAATAAAATGTAATTGCACATAAAGGTTTAAAAAAAAAAGAGTGTGCAATTAAATTTAGATTTCAGATAAACGATAATACTTTGTTAGTGTAAATATGTCCCCAGTGGGGGCCATTTGAGACATACTTACTCTAAAAAGTATTTGCTGTTTATCTGAAATTCCAGTCTAACTGGGTGTCCTGTGTTTCATCTGGCACCTCGGCACAAACAGCACTGGCAAACATGCCTGCCACGGAGCAGTGCAGGCTGCAGGTTGCCGTCTCTCTAGAGAACAGGGGAGACCACCGCTGTGGTAGTTGGGACCGTGGTCACGGCGGGGAGTGACCAGGAAGGCACGTGGGGGGCGCCTGGGAGCCCAGGCAGCGCTGTATTTCTTGATCTGCGTGCTGTTTGCAGGGTGTGCTCAGTGTATGAAGATCCACAGCTGGGCGGTTCTGAGAAGTGCACCTTTCCGTGTGTTTCCCCGACTGCACTGGGACGTTGAACCAGGCGCTGAGACCGCAGGCCTGAGCTCTTCCCGGCGGAGAGTAGCATACACCGGCCTGTGGGACCCGCTTTGGGCTCATCCCCGTCATTGTCATTAGAGTCACTCCACCTTGGGTGTCGGTTCAATGCCGCTCCCCCCAGGGAAGGCGCCCTGCTGTGCCCCCCTTCTGGTGGGCTCCGTCCTTGGCTGCTCTTGTCATTACTGTACTTCAGTCTTCCCTCATAAATGCTTGTTTATTATCTGTCTCTTCCTGTGGAACCTGCTCAGCAGGGACCGTGCCAGTCTTCCTGTGTGTCACCCAGGGCCTGGCACATAGGCAGTGCTCAGTAATATTTGTTGAAGCAAAGGATGAAATCTATATACAAACCAATATATATCCTTTCACTCCTGAAAGTCTTTATTAATTGATTTATTGATTAATAATTTGTAATTTTATCAATACAATTTTATTAATTAACATTATCACGAAGAATCAGGGTTTTCAGCAAGAGTTCAGCGTCTCATTTTTAAGGAAGGGCACATTCTAGAATCACAGTCAGCCACCCACACGGCTGTCGTCCTGCCCCGCGGCCCGGGGGACCCTGGAGACGCACCTCTTTTGGTGGAGGAAGCGACATGGTGGGAGGTTAATTGCAGGCAGTGGACACCGCGTTGCTCTTCTGCTGGTGACGAGCCCACTCGGCCTGGGGGCTGGTGTGGCCTCTGGGACCCACACTCTTCTTTTCTGTCTTGACGCTTGTAGGGATTTGCTGCGGACCCTGACCGAGGAGGAGCTTCACACGCTGGAACGGAACCTCTGTATCTCCCAAGACGTGGAGTTCCCCATCCGGGCGGACACCCCGGTGGCCCCTGCCCTGGAGCCCGCCCTGCCCGCTCCCCTCGGCCCGGCCGAGCCCAGGCACGCAGAGGCGGAGCTGGCGTGCTCCGTCCAGGACGACGACCAGGAGCTGGAGCAGCTCAGCCGCATGGTGCACAGGGCTGGGGACGCGATGTCCTCCCTCCTGTCCCCGCCCAATGCCTGCCAGTCCCCCGCGCACGGGCCGGGCGCCGACCGCGGTGCCCTCGGGCAGGCATCCCCGGGCGGCCCACGGCTGCCGCCGGGCAGCGACGAGGAGGAAGGGAGGGTGTTCTTCATGGAGGATGTGGACGGGGCGGCAGAGCCCCCGGGCGGCCGGTGTGGGCGGGCGGGCGGCCCCCAGGAGAGAGGGCGGGGCGGGGAGAGCCGAGGGGCGGGGGCCGGAGCAGCCGCCGCCGCCGAGCCGGAGGACCTGAGCGGCAGCCACGTCGGGCAGGGCGACCAGACGCGGGCAGTGGGCCCTGGCTCCTGCAGCTGCCCGGACTCGCAGCCGCAGCTGGATGGCTGGGAGGCGAGTGCGGAGGACGCCCAGACGGCCGAGCTGATCGCCCACCGGACGGGGGGCATGAAGCTCTCGGCCACGGTCATCTTCAACCCCAAGTCGCCCGGCTCCCTGGACTCTGCCCTCGCCAACCCAGAAGTCCTCGGAAACGGCGTCTGCCCTGGGGAGCCGGCGGCCGAGGGGACGGAGGGCGGCCCCCACAAACTCAGCGCCACGGCTGCCAACAGCCTTCTGAACTCCTGCGTGTGCTGCAGGGGCTGCGCGGGCAGCAGGGAGGACGCGGCCGAGAGCCTGCGCGGCAAGTGCGGCTCGGGAAGCGTCATCCGCTCCTCTTACGTGGGCTCCGCCAAGGCCTGCGCCAAGGGCTCGGCCGCGGGACTGCTGGAGGTCCGGCCTGCCCCGGAGGCCTTGCCCACGGCGCTGGGCGCCCCAGACCCCCTGCCCTCCGAAGACGCCCCCGGCGGGCAGGAGCCCAAAGCCCCCACTTCCGACAAGTGCCTGGCACACACCTCAGGGCCCCAGGTGGACGCGGCAGTCGGGCTGCCTGGAGGGGGCGGCGGAGCGAGTGAGCAAAAGGAGGCTGAGGCCCGGCAGCCCTCGGAGGCCGGGGAGGAGCCCCAGCACCTGCCGGGCTCCAGGTAAGAGCCGCAATGGCCCCTGGGCTCACCTCTAGTCGGTTTAGCTGCTGGTCAGGCCCTCCGGGACCCAGTTGCCACATCCAACCGAGAAGCGTTCCCCATAGCCCCGACCGCTCCGTTTCTGGCGTGACGGGCACCTTCAGGTGAGTGGGCGCAGGGCCGGGCCCTCGGTTCGCCCCTTCTCACTGCTGTGGTGTGACCGGCGTGTGCGGACCGGCGGGGGCTGGGTCCCAGCACCCACCTGCCCGGCGTGGCAGCTCCCGTGGGCCGCGGTTAGCCACACAGACCCTCAGCCCTGCCCCGGGGGCAGCGGTGGGATCCCGAGACCACCCTGGGGCAGATTCTCGGGCAGTGACCCCAGGACCCCGTTCTCTCCCCCCGAGGCAGCTGAGCAGGCAGGGCGGGCAGGGCTCTGTGACACCCTGACTCCTACACATCTGGCTCATGGCAGCTCTTCCTCCCCTGCCCCGCACCCGGGGCTTATCCTGAATGAAGCAGATTCAGCCAGCACTGCCCCGGCGCCCACCACGTGCCTCCGGCCCCCATCCTGGACGTGGGAAAGGAGGAGCCGGGCCCAGCCTTGGGGCCTCACGCGCGGCTGTTGCACTGTCCTCTCACCAGACCCTGCCTCGCAGGCTCCCATCCTGGCTTCACTGTGTGCAAAGGGAGGTGGGAGGATAGAGAGGGAAGGGGGCTCAGCCCGGAGGCTGGACAGGCCCCTGCCCGCAGCCATGGGAGCTGTGCACAGGGGGGCGGTCAGCAGGGAGGGGCCGTCTGGGCGCAGGGGCAGACGCCTTGCGGGCCTGTGCGGCCACTGCCACCTTCTTGCTGGAGCAGAGTGTGGCCCAGCTCCCCCAGCGGTGGGCAGGGGCTGGCCGGGAGCCCGTGGGGTTCGGGGCCGCTCTTTCTTCTCGAGCTAAACTCCGAGGCTCCGCCGCAGCCTTTTCTGTGTGGGTTCTGTAGACACTCCCCAGCCCCTCGCAGCCACGAATCTACTTTCTGGCTCTGTGAATTTGCCTATTCTGGACATTTCAAATAAGTAGAATCACTCACGTGACCTTTTGTGTCTGGCTTCTTTTGCTGAGCATCATGTTTTCAAGGTTCACCCACCTTCATGCAGGTGTCAGGACTTCCTTTCTATGGCTGAATAATATTCCACTGTACAAATGGACCACATTTTGTTCATCTGTTGATGGGCGGGTGTGCCGTTTCCACTTTTTGGTTATCATTAACGCTGTTGTGAACATCTATGTACAGGTTTTTGTGTGGTTGTGAGTTTTCAGTTCTTTGGGTGTCTCTCTAGGAGAGAATTCGTGCTTCACACGGTGCCTCTACGTTCTGAGGAGCTGTCACCGGCAGTTTTCATTCCCTGGTCACGTGCGAGGCTCCTGTTTCTCCACATCCTCACAAATACTTGTCATCATCTAAGATTTTTTTTAACAGTTCTTTTGACCTTCGGGCATATCCCACTAGAATATACAGCTGAGTGACTGCTTTCAACTCACTTGAAATCGTTCTGTTTCTGAGGTCATGCCCAAGTTTCACCCACAGCACGTTAATTTGTTCCACTTAGCATGAGCTGTATAGAGATTTTTGCCATTTGCCTTTAATTTAATTTTATGATTATGTGAAAAATTTGCATGGCTCCCGGCCAAATCTACAAAATAAGATATACCCAGAGAAATCTGTCTTTCTACCTTATTCTCCTTCTCTGCTAAAGTTACAGTTTTCCAATTTTTTATAATTTATCCTTCAATTTAAAAAGTAGAAGCAAGGCTGTACACACACACACACACGGAAACACATGGGCACGCACACACGGACAGATGGGCACACGCACAGGCACACACACACACACAGACAGGCACACACACGGACACACACACGGGCACGTGTTTTCCGCCCCCATTCTTTGGCAGAGGACCTTGTTCTTCTCTGCCTTGCTTTCCTGGCCTTCTAGCCTGAAGGCCTGTGGCCTGTCCATGACAGTTTCTAGAGATGTCTCCACTGTCAGTTTCAGCCACGTGGGACCACACTGTGTGGCTGGCCCACCGTGCAGTCAGGCCCTGCCACCTGCCTCGTGGCTGTTTCCAGTCTTGCTCTTACAGACGGCGCCGCGATGAGCAGCTATTTTTAAAAAAAATATTTATTTATTTATTTATTTATTTGGCTGTGTCGGGCCTTAGTTTCGGACGCGGCATCTTCCTTGCAGCACGCGGGATCTTTCGTTGCAGCGCGTGGGCTTCTCTCTAGTTGTGGCAGGTGGGTCCAGAGCGCGCAGGCTCAGCAGTTGCAGCACGCAGGCTTAGTTGCCCCGTGGCGTGTGGGATCTTAGCTCCCTGACCAGGGATCGAACCTGTGCCCCCTGCATCTGAAGGTGGATTTTTAACCACTGGGCCACCAGGGAAGTCCCAATGAGCAGCTCTTTTTGATGAGGCCATTTTTTAGGTGCAAGCCCAACATCATAATGTCCAGTGGAATGAATTATTGTCCACAACCTAAGGAGCGGCTTCCTCCCTCAGGGCCTCCAACTCAGTGGCCCAGAGTTGATTGGTAAGTGGATCATTTTCCTACGAGGCTGATATGAAGCCATCACAAATTCTTTGACCAGATACATGGACTTTTCAGCTTTTGACCTGCCCCGCTTTTCTTGCTCTGTGTCCAGGTGACAGCCAGTGGACACTTACTCTGTCTGGAACCCCCTCCTGCTTTCCTGACGTGTCCCGCCGTGGACACTGTGCTCGTTCACGTCAGGCCGGCAGCTTCCCAGGCCTCCTCTGGCTTAGCACAAATGCAGAAGCTGAGCTGAGAAAAGGAAACAAGCCTCCATGGAGGCCTCGGGAGACGCTCCCATCTCCCAGAGAAGCATTTCCAGAAGGTGCAGAGGGTCTGAGGGTGGCCAGGGGATCAGGGCAGCCAGGCCTTTGGGCCAGGACCGTGGACAGCGGCGCCCGGGACCCAGCACTGCGCCAGAAGCAGCTGAGAATCAGGTCAGCAGGTGGCGCCTGTGCCCTCCGCGGGCAGCGCAGACATGGGGAGCATCAACCCTTCACATCGCACGTGGGTTCCTGGGTGGCTGAGCAGGGTGCGGGGGAGGCGGCCCAACCTTGCAGAGCGTGATCTAACACGAATGGAGGGGCGAAAGCAGCCTGTTGAAACAGACAGACACAGAAGACCAGCCTCACACAGGCAGCAAGTTCACGAGAACTCGGACGGCGAGATCCCGGGCGTTGGTTGGTGTTGTTAGTATCATCTGTGCACAGCTTCCCATGAACACGGCCAGGCTTGTGTCGGGGGCAGGTGACCCCCCGCCCCTGGCAGACGGAGAGACGGACCCCGGAGAGGCTGGCACCCGCCGTGGCTCGAAGTGCCTAGAGGGGCTGGCATCACCCTTGACCTGCCTGAGCGAGAGCCCGTCTGTCTGGTGACGTGCTTGGTCATCACTCGGCCGTGACGAGCCAACATCCTGAGCTGACCATGAGGCCTGCCTGTCCAGCAGGTCCCCCTGTGGCCCCTGCCGTGCGCTGGAGGAGGAGTGACCGCACGTGTGGCCCCGTGCGTGAGTCAGACGTGTGCAGCCTCAGAGCTCTGTGCCACCTTTGAGTCGGGTGCCATGAAGGGAATACACCAAGCTGCGACCACGAGTCTGCTTTTGGGGCCACGTTCCCCGGGGACGCCTGGAGTGTCACCTCCCACACAAGCAGCGCACAGCCACCAGGTGGAAGGACGGGGCTGCTGGGGGTACGGTGCAGGCCGGAGGTGGGTCCTGGAGCAAGGGCCTGGGCGGGAAGAGCCCTGCACGTTCCCCCAGGCCCTGTCTTCAGCCGCTGCACGCAGGCCGGTTCCAGCCGTGCTGTTGCCCGGGGTAGGGGACGTCGCCCCAGCACAGTAGTGGGCAGAATGTTTCAGAACCAAGTGTCCTTCAGATCTTTTCTTTCTTACCTTTTCAGTGCTTGAAGATTAACCTTTTTGGGGGAAAACTTAGCATTTTTAAAAGCTTCCTGTTTTTTGCCTAGACTCACCTCATCATCCAGAACTGTCCACACTCTTGAGGCTGGCAGGAGAGCTCACTTGTCTAGAGGATGGAAACTCGCCCCCTCTTGGGTCTGTTTGGTCCTTTCTGTGGACATTTTACTAAAGTGTGTTTCCAACCTTCTTGAAAAAATAACACTGACTCTTGCTTTTTTCTAATTTCAATTGTGGTCCCCATTCATTGTAGAAACTTATGAAAACAAAAAAAAGAGTAAAAGAAGGAAATAAAAACCATTCCAAATCTGATGAGCAGTTTTGTTATTTTTTTAACTTTTATTATTTTTTTCACTGAATATTATTTAATGATCATTTATCTGCAAAATTCATTAAAACACAGTATTCGTAGGACTTAATGCTAACTTGCTGTATGTTTTCCCATTTCCGTATTTTGTTGATTAGCCTTGTGGTCCCTCTCCTTACGGTTTTGTGTCTGTCTCTGGGAATCCACCCTTAGGAGTAGAGTCGCCCCAGCAAAGCCATGACCCTTGCCGTCACACTCCCTTCCTCAGCAGTAAACCGCCCCACCCCCCCCCCCCCACACCCCCCCACACCCCCCCCCCCCCCCCCCACCAACCACAACCCCCGGACCCCCAACCCCACCAGCCCCGTGTCATT